CCCCGTGTGTGTGTGATGGACCCTTTTAATAATCTGCTAAAAAACTGAACCCTCTCCCCAGGAAAATTCCCTAACATACTAAGTTTTGCATATATTTTCAGGGAGTTCACACATTCCTTGATGCTATCCTTGGACCCCTGATTAAAAACCTTCACGTTAATGGCTTTCCATTACCTCTTAAGATCAAACTCTGTTACACAAATGAGGAAACTCAGATAGGCAGAAAGAAAAGAAGTATTTATCCATAATGCAGCCGCCTAGACAACCAGTTTCTCTAATTATATATTTTCTGTCATCTCTCACTTCTTCCCAACATGCACCTCATGCCCCAGACCAATACAGCTGCTTGCTGTCCTCTCACAGGGACGTGCTGTTTGCCACAATGTTTTGTTAATTGCCTGTTTATATATTTGTATTTTTTATTTTGCTGAACTTAAAGGCGTTGATTGTACATTAATTTTTGTATATTTAGAGTCTAGAGCCCAGCTTAGTGGCTGACACATAGTATTAGGTGAATGTTTGGCTAAATAAATGAATTACGACATTTATACATATTTATGAAAGAAAATGATGAAAAGAGAAAGAAGAAAGAATTACCTATGGTCCCGACATCCAAATGTAGCAGCTCTTAATGTGTATGTCTGCTGTGCTCTTGTCTGGGTAATTTCTACCTTCCAGTGCCCAGCTCCTTCAGAGGTAATTTGGGATGAGAGTCATTGCCCTTTCCCACTTCAAATAGTCTGAGTTTAATATGTATAGAATTCCTAATAATGCTATTAAATGATTTAATCTTGAGAATATTAATCAGATTAAATTTTCACTACTTTCTGCTCATTCCTGGGCGTGCCTTCACCTGCCCAGTTCTGGAGAACTGTGATATCTATCTTCTTATCTTTCTTACCCCAGCACCTTATCTTGGAAGGTTTAAGAACTTCTCTATGTGCCCGGCTGGGCATGCATCGACCTAGGATCCAGGCGATCGGGGTTCAGTTCCCCATCAGGGCACATGCCCGGGTTGTGGGCTCGATCAATGACTCATCATTGATGTTTCTCTCTCTCTCTCTTCCTCTCCTTTCCTCTCTCTGAAATCAATAAAGATATATTTAAAAAAAAAAAAAAAAAG